TAAGTGAGGGGATGTTGATCAAACTTAAAACAGTGTTGTCATCCTTGTTTGATTTAACGTATGACTTGCAGGCTACCATAGATTGTTCAATTGACCTTGACAGATGTTTCCAACCATTACTTTTTCCTGGCTATATCAAGGCCAAGTCCACCAGATGTCAGTACAATATAAATTATCCAAATTATTTAATTTAAAAGCCAAATATAGAAGACAAAAATGAGGTTCCCATAAAACAAACCCATTTCATTGAATATTAAAAATTTAACCTATACCAAATAGAAGGAGAGATTGTAAAACTAGCCATTATAAACTGTAATGTAACTTTTTAAATGATTTCACATAGCCCTCTTTAACATTAATATAATCTGAATAAAGCTGGTCTAGTATTTATCCATCTTCCTGTTGCATTATCATTCAAATGCAGTATTTGCCAGATGACATTTTTATTCACTGATGGTTTCATGCATTAACATTTGCCCATTACATTTTTCTCTTGATTACTTTTTCTGCTCTAGAAAAAGAGACAAATCATGAAAGCAGTATATTCCCTGACATATTTCTTTACTTGATCGCAGTTAAACTAAAGTTTAATATGTGTAACACTGTCTGGCAATGAGTTGAATTCTTGATGTTAAGATATACCAATGACATTTTTTTCCAAAATATAATTTTTGTGGCTGAGGAGAAAGTTGTTAGTTCACATCATTAATGCATGCACATATGCAAACACACACACATAGACACTCAATGAGGAAAAAGAGAGACTTCACAGAAGTGAGAGTAAAATACTACTAAGCCTATGTTTGCCTCTATTTGTTTATGGTTCTTTGCGGCAAAATGTCCAGGAGGGAGGATTTGCTCCTTCTGGTTAGCATTAGAGGAACTCTCTTTCTCTCCCAAATCTAGTTTCTTTTTTTTCCCAATATATGCCACTCAACAGAGTTTTCCACCTCACCTTCCCAACCCCAATACCTACATTTTATTATGCCTCGTGTGACTACTGGGTAGAGATATATAGTGACAGAATTTAAGAACAAAGTAATATGAGAAACAGACGAGGTAATTCCACCCTTCATGCTTGCAGCTCCTAATAATATGCTTTTACCAACTTGAGAATTATACCACAGGCAGAGTTTTCATCTACTATTTTATCTTTGCACTTTCAACCCAAAAGGTCCTTTAAGGAAATGGTCAAGTTAGGGTTTTCTTCCTATAGCTAGATAATTCTCTCCTCAGGACTTGTAGTTTCCCCATATTTATCTTCATGTTTTTTCACACATAAAATTAGTTTATTATTTTGCTTAAATATTAAAGGGCCTGCTTTTTGTGCACATATTCTACATTCCATGAGTTTATAATCTGAGCAAAAGTACCAATCATGTGACCAAAGCAATAAAAGAACATGTTAGAGATATTGTGTGGTTCTTTCTGAGGAAGGAAACTGTAAGAGTATAAATGGCTTACAGCTATTTGGAAGGACCAGTCAAGTTAGCTAAGCCTAACAAAGGCAAGAAAACTGAGGCCTCAGGTACCTGAAGGATGAAGATCTGGATTCCATCAGTAAAGCTGGTGAAACCAGTGCTGACAAATTATGAAACAGAGAATACATTTACACTGACAATTTCTAAAGGAAAGAGGTAAACTAAAAGACACTGCTCTTTTAATATATCACATTTTAACAGGAGATAAACTTAAGACTATCCAAATAGATTTTTAAAAACACATTTGATGTGATTTAGTATTCATTGGTAATTTCAAAAGCCATAACCAAAAAAAAGAAAGAGAAGAATTTTCTTAAACTGAAGAAAGACAAAAACATATAAACAAATACAAAATCTGTAGCAAAGATTCAAACCCTTCCTAAAGGTCAGAAAAACATCCTAAAAAGATGTCTGGAATCACCATGATTCCTGTTTCAAAACTGTTTTAGGGATATGTTTTTAACACAATTTGTACAGGAATCACTCAGTCTCATCTTCCTCCCACACCCACCTCTTTGGTGTCAGTTTCCCACCTTCACTGCTTGGATCATGGCCATCTTCTTGTCTGTTAACTCCCTTGCCTGCCCTTGTCTGTTACAGGATTAGACTTTTATTATTCCTAGACAGGAGCTGCAAGAGATCTCACACCTAGGATCACACTGGTTGGACCCTTGGAAGTTCTGGCTCCCTCTGTTTCATTGAGATTTATATGAAATATCAGAGCGTAAGGCAGAGAATCTGGCTTCCCCCAAGGCTTAAAAGTTTAGGACTGATGGTATGTTACTTTGCTTGATTCATTGTTCCTCAGTGTAAACACATTAAAATATCACATTGCACTTCATAAACATACCCAACTCTTATTTGTTAATTTTTAAAAATTTTAGGAGCATTAATTACCTATAGAACAACATGACACACAAAACAAGACAGGGAACTGGCAGAAAAATGTTGTTCCCTTCCTCCTTGACAGAGTGCCCCAAGACCCAGAGGTTATCTGCCTGTCTCCAGAAATGTCTTCTATACCACAGTAATCTGTTTTTCTTCATTTGTTTAATTATGGTAGCCGCTAGGTAGCATACTATATTGTCATTATTTTTCTGCTTTATCTTTTTTATTTTTCCCTTCACTTTTTTATATGCTAATATTAAATAAAAGATTAGCATATACTTAGTGCTTGAGTGTTTTCTAGAAAACTTGGATTAAACAAGTGCCTCATAGTGAGATAATAAAGGGAAATACATTAATTTCATCTTCAGTTACATTTTGTTCTGATGAGCTGGCCTGAAGATATAACTATCTTACTCAACTTCTTCTTTCCCTCCTCAGTGGGAAAATGTATTTCAAGTTCAACGTAACCAGCGTACAAACTCTTAGTGCACAACTCATATACCCGTCTGAGACTACATGCCTCTGGTACAGCACGGGAAAGGCACAAAGCATTATTTTCCTGAAGTTTCATTTGAATATATCAGAGCCCCTGCAGTGTGAGGGCCTTTGAAAGAAACAAACGTAGATAGTATGTGTTTACTGGAGAAAATTCAGGATTTGAAGCTGGCATTACCTAAGGATAGATTTAATTTTTTTTTGAGAGGAAGAATTATTCCCTCTGATACTTTAAATATAGGGTACCTTTTTAATTTCTTATAATTTTGGATCATTCCTTTGTGTCTTCTGCATGGAAGATGACGATTTCAAGAAGCTGAATATGTCACAGAAAAGAATTAAAAGCTTACCATAATCCAAGCACATAGAAGACTACCACAGAAAGAAATTAAGGAGGAAAGTAGGGGAGCAATGAGAAAACTGAAATGCATTTTGCAAAATGACAGTTTTTAAAACAAGCCCCAGAGTTTGTTAAGATTGTCTTAAATGGAGAGCCTAAGTATTTCCATTTTGGGGGATTTTAATTACGCAAGAGCATTCATTAAAATCTGGCTTTTCTTTGATGTTTGTTATGTGATTTCTCAGGCTAGCATAGGCTTCCAGATTTGAAGAAAAATTTCTCCCATCCAGACTCCCACATAGATTTCCCAATATAATTTTCTCTAAGAAACAAAGTAAATTCCTTTACCTTTCCTATATTCTGAAAAATTAATTCATAGAGCAGAAATATTCCAGTGAGGAAATAGTTAAATGTATTGCATATATGATTTTGTATCTGAGTTAATGTGATGAGAAGGAGAAGGGAACTGAAGGGAGAAAAATAACTGAATTGCTGAAAGGCCTCACTGGGGAAACACACACACACTCTCTAAATTAATAACTTTTAAAAAACAAACAAAAAATACTACTTCAGTTAGAGGGCTGTACTAGTAGCGATGGGTACCTGACATGTTGAAAGTTCCACTCTGCCCTTTACTCAGCAGGAACACATAATTACAACAGCTAAAATTACAGGAAAAAATAAAGTGAAACGGTTCAGCACTTGGGAGCCAAACATAAACAGCAGCTCTGACCTTTAAATCTCTACTGACTGCATGAGCCGTAGTTCATCCCAGCACAGTAGCTTTAAAAAGATTAGTAATCAGGTTTTTAAAAGAATATTACAGGCATCTGAATTGAGTGATTATTTAAAATTAATAAATAAAAAGTCAAAATGGACTTTTATTCACATGTTTGATAGGAGTCTTGCAAAGGGTTTGGCATGGCTGGAAATAGTGCATAGAATGCATTAAGCTTTTTACAGGAAAAAATGTTTATTCATATTTCATTATTGCAATGTTTAGCTTTTAACAATTGTTGAAAAGGAGAACAGGGAAATTAAATACATAGCAGTGTGTGTATCAGGAGAAGTCCATCATAGAAACTGAAAAAACACTTTCAAGTTTGTATCTCCTCAATGTCAATATCTCTGCAGGCAGCAACCACCAGTAGCTACTTGATGTCAAAGCACTGCACTACAGAGAAAGAGCAAGGGGCATCAGGCCAAGAATAATTGTTTTTGATGTAGTATGTGAACAAGCATTATTAGAACAGGAGAGAATAAAAACTCTCCTGCTGTGTAATGCATGTTAATTAAGTGTGAAGTTCATGACAACAACAGCAACAAGAAGAGTTTATGAACAGTGAAGACACTAGCCAACCACCAGGGCAAAGAGCATTTGGTGATGGGGAGCTGACTCTTTCCATGATCGACAAGTTGTTGAAACCCAGAAAAGAAAATCAAATTACAGACAATGTTCTCTCTCACTCACTCTCACTTTCCCCACTTTATTGAGGTATAATTGACACATAATAGTTGTATTTCAAGGAATAATGTTTTTCATGTATTGTATATGTTGTGAAATAATTTCCACCATCAAGTTAATTGACATACCCATCACCTCACATAGTTGCTTCATTTTGTGAGGGGTGTGTGGATGTGTGTGTGCACATGTGTGTGTGTGTGTGCACTGAAAATACTTAAAATCTGCTCTCTTCGAGAATGTCAAGTATACAAGATGTTTTTATTAATTATAGTGACCATGCTGTACATCAGGTTTCTGGAACTTACTCATTTTATAACTGCAAGTTTCTACCCTTTGACCAACAACTCCCAATTTACCTCACCCCGCTAACTCCTGGTAACCACACTTCTATTCTTTGTTTCTACAAAACAGACATTTTTAGATTTAACATATAGGTGGCATAACATCTTCTACGTTCATCTCTCTTGTTCCAAATGGTTGAATTGCCTTCTTTTTCAAGGTAGAATATTATCTCATTGCAAATATGTATACGCATACAAACACACACACATATTATAATTTATTTATTCATCCATCAATAGGCATTTAGGTTATTTTCCATATTACGGCTATCACAAATAGTACTGCAATGAAAATGGGAGTGAATATCTCTTCAAGATAGTGATTTTATTTCCTTTGAATGTACGTGCAGAAGTAGAATTGCTGAATGAGAAATTACTCATGTAAAAGTTTCATTTAAAAATGATATGAACACAGTCTGTGAGCCATAATACATAATACGTATTTTACATAGTAAATCTATAAAGACTAAGTGTCTCTATTAATATGTCTAGTTTTTTTTTTTTCTCTTTAATCCTAAATTTGGTAAATGAAATACTTTTTACAGGGAAAAAGTATTTTACAGTAGCTTTTAGTTAATTGGCATTTAGTGAATGCAAAAATAAACTTTAAAAACAATTTCTTCCTTTTTATATGATGAAGGAGCAAATATTTGGATTATGTGATTAATAAATTAAAATGTAATACTGTCATATTTACTATCCAGATAAATTTAATTCAGCTTAAAGCTAAATGTAAAAATTCCAATTTTATTTATTTATGTAGTCGTACATTTGTATATGACTACCTAAATGTACAAGGTGTAGTTAGATTAGTTAAAATGCTTATGAGAAATTAAATTAATTTTCCCAAAGAAAATCTGAGACATAAAACATATTTTCTTAATATGATGAATCTGAATATGAGGATTGAGCTTTAGTAAAGAAAGATCAAGAATTGAAAAAGAAGAAAATCCTTGAAAATAAATCATAATTTTTAAACATTAATAAATAATTATAGACAATATTTGAAAAACAAACAACTAGTAAAGGTGATTATCATCTTTTCTTTGAAAAACAGGGAAACATAAAAATGGCTCAAGAGTCTATCAGAAATACAGAGAGTTAACATAATTTGAAAGTTAAACTTTTGTTGTCTGGGTACAGAACAACTTGGTTGCCTCACAAAATACAAATACAAATTCAATTTCTTCCCATTTTATATATCACCCACATAAAATTTAAAGAAATCATTTCTTGCCAAATATTTTACTTATGAATAAACATATTAATATTGAGTTGATTTTCTTAAGAATTTTAAGATATTTTATTGGTTTTTTTTTCAGTTTTATTTTTATTATCCATAAGCTTTTGAACTAATCTTACTACACCTTATATATGTAGGTAGACATACACATATGTACAAAAACATAAATAAATAATAAAATTAGAGCATTTATATTTAGCTTAATTAACTTTATCTGCATAGTAAATAAGACAATGCACATATTATATTTAAATTTATAATTTTATTTGTAGTGAATCTCTAAACAAACTGACATGGCATTTTTTACGTTGTATAAAAACTCATATTTCTTCTGTAATTATTATACCTAGCCTATTGTTATTCATTATATAATCACCTTTAACCAAAGTTACCAACTCCTGTTATCTCTTGACCCAAAGAAAAGCAGAAGACAGAAAACCAATAAATATTTAGCTGTTTTTTTATGCACACCATTTCATATTATCTTTCCAAATTTTAAAATGGCAAAAATCCCCTATAATTAACAATATCTAAAATCATTTGCATATCTCCTGATCTCTGACCACTTAAAAATGTAGAACTAACTTAGTTGCCAAGTTATATATCAAAACTATTTGAATATTTATAAATTTATTAAAGTTAAAACTTGTAATGATATTAAAGTGAACTAAAGATCTGCAAATTACAAATTCATTCAGTTACACACAATTTTATGCTTTTATCATTTTAATTTGTAAGAACAATAATAACTTGATAACATAAAGCTGATATAAACATTTAGAATTCTTAAATAAATAGGAGTTTAATCCTACTTCTCCAAAATCTAGAATATTATGATGACTTTAGATACATACAAGTAAATAAAAGACAGATAATAATTTTTTGGTCAAATTAATTACCTCATTGTAAATTATCATGGATATTAAATAAAGCATTTCTAACACAATTTATGAGTTTTAACTCTGATCTTTAATTTTTAACTCTTTAAATATTGTCTAAAATATCTTCTCATCTAATCTTAGAACTGGTGGTCTTATTATAATGAGCAAATATATTACTTAATTATATTTCTTAGTGAAATTTTAGAATGAACAATTTCTCGCAAAGCAAACATTTTTAAAGCTCAAAACAAAAAGTTTTTATTTTTTACTTACCCCTTTTATACATTCTTAACACTCTGTCTTGACCATTTTTAGCATGTACAAATATTGGCAGCACTTCATTTGATTAATCTTCAGTTTTCTAAGAAACAGGAATAGGAGGTAGGAAGAACAAAGGTGAGATAGATTAGATAGATAGATAGATAGATAGATAGATAGATGATAGATAGATAGATGGATATGGAGGAAGTGGGGGAAGAGAGTGAGGGAAAGAGAGAGGGAGGCAGGAAAAGGGAAGGAAAGTGGAAGAGGGAGAAGGAGGAGAAAGGAACAGTCAATTACAGCTAGGTTAAACAAGGTCCCAGGGACTTGACAGTTTTATCACATCACAAAATTAAAAAGTCATTGTTCATTCATCTATAAAGTATAGGATCTGAGGTAGGAGAAATTCCCATATCAAACAGTCTTTTAGATAGATAAAATCTCCCCATGAAAATTTTTTTCTTTCTTTCTTTTCTCTCTCTCTCTTTTTTTTTTTTCTTGGTAATATTGTATCCAAGTTAAAATATTTGATACCATTAGCTCCATGACAAGTGGAGATACGTAAAACCAAATATCTTCCAGAAAACCTTAGAATGTTGCATGGGCTTTATTATTTCTTTTCTCTTCTTCTTCTTCTTCTTCCTCTTTTTTTTTTTTTTTTTTTTTTTTTTGATACAGAGTTCTGCGCTTGTCACCCTGGCTGGAGTGTAATGACACAACCTCCACTCACTGCAAATTTGCCTCCTAGGTTCAAGAGATCCTCCAGTCTCAGCCTCCTAAGTAGCTAGGAATACAGACGTCCACCACCACACCAGGCCAATTTTTGTATTTTTAGTAGAGACAAGTTGTACCATGTTGGCCAGCCTGCTCTCAAACTCTTGACCTCAGGCTATTCACCCACCTCAGCTTCCCAAAGTGCTGGCATTACAGGCATGAGCCACCGTGCCTGGCCCATTATTTCTAAAGAAGCTGCAAAACAAATAATCTGATCTCACAAATGCTATGTCTCATCCTACACTTTGTTAAAGAGCTCAGAGAGATTAAAGAAAGGAATAAAGAAATCATTATTGGTATCAGCAGGGAAAAATATAATTAATTGATCTTTTTCAGTGCTCAGCCAAAACGAGGCAAAGCTCAGATACAAAGCAGGATTTACTTCAGAGGCTGAATAAAAGAATCTTGAGAAGAGGACATGACAAAGAAACTCTGGAATCCACAACTTTATCCAAGTCCCCTGGTTCAAGTGGGAGAGTTTAGTCTATTGGTGAGGGAAAAGGAGATGCAGTCATTGTACTTATTAGACATCCTGTAATAAGAGCACCAGAATGTAGGTGAGAAATAGTTTTATATTTATTCTAATTGGAAAATATATTAGTCTGTTTTCACACTGCTGATAAATCCAAGACTGGGAAGAAGATAAGGTTTAATGGACTTACGGTTCCATGTGGCTAGAAACACCTCACAATCATGGTAGAAGGTGAAAGGTACGTCTCACATAGCAATAGATAAGAGAAGACAGTGTGTGCAGGGAAACTACCCCTTACTTAATCATCAGATCTCATGAGACTTATTCACTATTATGAGAACAGCACAGGAAAGATTCAATTACCTCCCACTGGGTCTCTCCCACTTGGAATTCAAGATGAGAATTGGGAAGGGACACCGTCAAATCATATCATTCTGTCCCTGGCCCCTTCAAAATCTCATGTCCTTACTTTTAAAAACCCATCCTACCTTCCCAACAGTACTCCAACATCTTAATTCATTTCAGCATTAACTTGAAAGTCCACAGTCCAAAGTCTCATCTGAGAAAAGGCAACCTTCTGCCTGTGAGCCTGTAAAATGAAAAGCAAGTTAGTTATTTTCTAGACACAATGGGAGTACAGGCATTGTGTAAATACAGCCATTCCAAATGAGAGAAATTGGGCGAAAGAAAGGGCTTAAGGGCCCCATGGAAGTCCATAATCCAGAGGGATAGTCAAATCTTAATCTGCAAAATGATCTCCTTTGACTCCATTTCTCACGTTCAAGTCACTTTGATGCAAGATGTGGGCTCCCATGGCCTGGGGCAGCACCATTTCTTTCGATTTGCAGGGTATAGTCCCCTCCTGGCTGTTTTCAGGGGCTTGCATTGAGTTTCTGTGGCTTTTCCAGATACACAGTTCAAGCTGTCAGTGGATCTACAATTATGGGGTTTGGAGATCAGTGGCCCTTTTCTCACAGCTCCACTAGGCAGTGCCCCAGCAGGGACTCTGTATGGGGGCTCTGTTCGCATATTGCCCTTCCACACTGCCCTAGCAGAGGTTCCCATGAAGGCTCCGCCTCTGCAGCAAACTTCTGCCTGGACACCCAGGCATCTGAAATCTACATACACATTTTAATTCAGATACCCTAAATCATCTCTCTTAAGTTCAAAGTTCCACAGATCTCTAGGGCAGGGGCAAAATGCTTCCAGTCTTTTTGCTAAAACGTAACGAGAGTCATCTTTGCTCCAGTTCCCAACAAGTACCTTATCTCCATTTGAGACCACCTTAGCCTATATTTACTTGTCCATATTATTATCAGCATTTTAGTCAAAGGCATTCAACAAGTCTGTAGGGAGTTCCAAAATATCCCAAATTTTCCTGTCTTCTTCTGGGCCCTCCACACTGTTCCAACCTCTGCTT